TTTATTCCATTGTATATTCTTGCCTCCTTTGTCGAAGATGAGTTGACCAAAAGTTTGTGGGTTCATTTCTGGGCCCTCTATTCTGTTCCATTGGTCTATATGTCTGTTTTTGTACCAATATCATGCTGTCTTGATTACTATAGCTGAACAGTATTGTCTGAAGTCTAGGAGAGTTATTCCTCCAGGCTTTTTCTTTTTTTTCAGTAATGCTTTGGCAATTCTAGGTCTTTTGTGGTTCCATATAAATTTTATTATGATTTGTTCTAGTTCTGTGAAATATGTCCTGGGTAATTTGATAGGGATTGCATTAAATCTGTAGATTGCCTTGGGCAGTGTGATCATTTTAACAATATTGATTCTTCCAATCCTGGAGCATGGGATATCTTTCTGTTTTTTAAAGTCTTCTTTAATTTCCTTCATCAATAGTTTATAGTTTTCTGTGTATAAGTCTCTCTCTCTTTTTAAATCGATTTTTATACATAGTGGCTAACATTTGTAAATCTCAAATTCCGAAATTTATTCCTTCCCACCCCCTTTCCCTGGTAACCATAAGATTGTTTACTATGTCTGCAAGTCTGTTTGTTTTGTAGATTAGTTCATAGTGTCTTTTTTTTTTTAGATTGCACATGAGTGATACTATCTGGTATTTTTCTTTCTCTTTCTGGCTTACTTCACTTAGAATGATGATCTATAGGTTCATTCATGTTGCTGCAAATGGCATTATTTTATCCTTTTTATGGCAGAGTAGTATTCCATTGAATAAATATACCACAACTTCTTTATCCAGTCATCTGTTGCTTCATTTAGGTTGCTTACATGTGTTGGCTATTGTATACAGTGGTGCTATGAATACTGGGGTGCAGGTATTTTTTTCGCATTGGAGTTCCCTCTAGACTTATACCAAGAAGTGGGATTGCTGGATCATAGGGTAAGTCTATTCTTAGTGTTTTGAGGAATTTCCATAATGGTTACACCAAACTACATTCTGACCAGCAGTGTAAGAGGGTTCCCTTTTCTCCACACCCTCTCCATTTATCTTCATAAACTTTTAAGTGATGGCCATTCTGACTTGTGTGAGCTGATACATCATTGTAGTTTTGATGTGCATTTCTCTGATAATTAGTGATATTGAGCATTTTTTCATGTATCTATTGGCCATTTGTAGTCTTCATTGGAGAAATGCTTGTTTAGATCTGCCCATTTTTGGATTGGATCTGTGTATAAGTCTCTTAATGCAGCCCTGGAGGCTGGGTTCCGGGGTAGTTTAGAAGATAATTTCTAACTTTGTGCAGGTGCTTCAGATCTTGAAGCTAAGACCAGAGCCCCCAGGAAAGGTAATTTCTCCCCAAAGAACTTCCCCCAACTGGCCAGCTCCACCTGTAGCTCCTCCACCTAAGGTTCTTGTTTCTCCCCACTCAGCCCCAGCTCCATGACTCACGTCCAAGAGGAGAATCAGGGTAATTGGAGAGGATGGAGGTCCTGGCGGGAGATGGGGCAAGGGGCCTGGGCGGGAGGGGCTCTGGGCTTCGGGAGGAGGAGGTGTGAACACTTCTCTGTCTCTGTGAGCCCAGGCACCTCCCTGGCCCTCGCTGGGTCTCAGGCTCCCCACCTAAGGGTGAGAGGGGTGTGCAGGGCTGCAGGAGTTCAAGAATCTTCGCATGAGACAGAATCTTATCCTCCAGACACTGCCACAAGAGAGTCCCTGACTGAGGAGGACAAGCAGGTGGAGAATCGGGTGAGCCCCCTGCCCTGTCCAGGGCACCCACACAGTCTTCCAAATAAGCTAAATCCTCGGATGCTTCTTCCTCCCATCATTCAACTCTCAGCAGCATCTGACCTCAGCCTTCCTCTTGAAAGGTGACACCCTTGGGCTGCTGGGACCCCACTTCTCAGTGGGGCTCTACTGACACCACGTGGGTCCCTCCTTCTTGGTCCCTCTACTTGGGTCCTTGTAACGGTTAGTGCGTCCATATCCCCTGTGGTATTGCGCCCAGGGACAGTTGTACAGTGTGTGTGCAGCACAGTAGAGTTCAGGGTTTGAGATCCTAAGGGTGGGGTCTGAGAGGTGCGCCTTTTCTCACTTGCACCAAGGCCCCTGTAGACTGGCCTGTCCCTGCACTGGGACCCCTGCCCTTCTTTATCTCTGTTTACTCTTTTCTCCAGTCTCATGGATTTAGATGCAGTGGAACTGCACAACAGTGTGCCTTGGGTGTAACATCTCCCACTTCCCCTCAATGCTCACCACCTCCAAAAAAAATCCAGTATTTACTCAGTTCTTTCTTTCTCTTGTCCCCACGTCGATGTCCAGACATTTGGGTATTTAGTGTGTATGTATGTATGTATATGGATGAAGTGAATGAATCAAAACCAAACAAACGTCCTTCAAGACGCCTAGTTTCCCCCACACGAGCTCATTCATTTATTCAGTCAGTGAACAAGTGTTTGTTAGGGATCTGTATTTGGCAAGGCTCAGCCTTAGCCTGGGTGACATAAACATGAATGAAAATGTGTCTGAGAAAGGGAGTCATATGGTTGGATTTATGTTTTAAAATCAGCTCTCTAGCTTCAGGGCAGAAACCTAACTGAAGAGGGACAAGAGCGGAGGCAAGGAGAGGAGTTCCACCCGCTCACGATCTCCCCGCCGCAGAGCCCTGGTGGTGGAGATCCCCAGGGAAGGACGTACGCCTGGGTCAAACCACTCAAGACGCCAGCACGGGGTGGACCCCCTTCCTCCCCCATGTTCAGAGCAACTGCTGGACACAAAGGACAGACGAATAGGGGAGGAGAGGCAGATGGACAGTCAGGTGGGTTTTTTCTGTTCCAGGTGCCCTGGCTTTTCCCCTACCTCAATCACATACCTAACTCTCACCCTCCTGCTCCCCCAGGCTGCTGTGTCTGAAGCCCCCCAGGATGTGACCTACGCCCAGCTGACCCACTCGACCCTCAGACGGGAGACGACCGCACCCCCTCCCTCCCAGGCGGGGGAGCCCCCCGCAGAGCCCAGCGTGTACGCCACACTCGCCATCCACTAGCCCAGGACAGGACGCAGACTCCCCACTCCCAGGAGGGAGACCGCAGGGACCCCGGGAGGCAGGGGGCTGCCCCATGGACACACATCTAATGCCCTGAGCCCAGGGATCTTTCATAAGCAAGCAGGATACCCTGGGGCTTTAGAAGTCACCCTGTGCTGAAAACCAAGATAAACATTAACGCTATATTTTTAGAAACAAAGCAATACACTTCTAAATAACCAATAGGTGAGAGAAAAAAA